TAGATAAAAATTTTAAAATACCATATATTTCTATATAGAAATGATCTATATTACCCCCCTATTCTTAATAAAGTTGATTCTTTATTATAAACATTCTTGTATTTATTATTTTTTTTACTACTTTAGTTTTTAGTTACTTAAATTATTCTTTTAATTAAATTTTACTTTTTGTATTTTAATAAAACTTTTTATACAATTAGTAAATTGTTTTCCTAATCAAATATCTACAAGTTAGATGCAAAGATGTTAATATTATTTAATTAAAAAAGCAAAAATATTTATACTGTCTTTTTTTAAAAACTTATATATATAGTTTTTATATAATTAAAATCTTTAATATATAATATTCTAATTATATAAAATTTACATTTTACAATTAAGTTTATTTAAAAAAAAATTATTTTAAATTTATATTTAACCTTTTTTTATATTTAATTTTTAACTTTATAGATTACAAAAATGAATTTAGTTTTATTTTAAATTGCTAATCTTGTTTATAGAGATTTAGAAGCTTAATTACTAAGCTACAAAACTCAAATTTATATTTATTTTTAATAATTATTATTAAATATATTTATAATATTTATAATATTTATATTTTTTGTTAAAACTTAAAATTACAATATAACTTTAGACTAAAATAAAAATTAAATACTATATATAAAAATTTAAACTTAAATTATATAAAGTTAGAAAATTTTTAAATATTTTTACTTAATATATATTTAATTTTAGTTAATTAAACAGTTTTTAAAATATAACAACTAGAATATTAATTATTTATAATAGTATTAAAATTTAATTATAATAGTATACAATTTTGTTATATAATAAATTAAATTTTAAATATATATATTATATAATATTATATATATTTAAATTAATTTTTTGGTTTACAAATTAAAAATAATTATATTTAAAATTATAATTAATTTTCACTTTAGATAATATTATTTAATATTATAAAATTTTTATTATAAATAAATAAATTTAATATTAAAAGATTAAAGTTAACTTTAGATTAAATTAAAAAGTTTAAATATATATAAACTTTAATATTAAAAGTTTTGTTTAAAAGTTAAAGAATGGTTTTATAATTAAACCTTAAGTTATTTGAGTTTTTTTTCTTTTTTTTTTACTTTGTTTTATATAATTATATCTGATTCAGTAATCTGGTTGGTTTTTATACAACCAGATAATATTACTTAGAATGAAAATTAGCAATAGTTTATAATTAAAATCAATATTAAAAAATAAAACATTTTATTTTCAAAAAGTTTTTTTTTATTAAATATTTTAAATATTAAAATTTCAAATACTGTATATATAAAAAACTACAGTTGCTTTAATTTTAATTGGTTATAATACTTTAATATTATAGTGTTATAGCGCTTTAAAATATTTTTTATAGTTTTTTTATAAAAAATTAAAGTTAATTTTTACACAACTTTAAAAAAATGATTTAATTGCAATTATATAAGTATACAAAATAATTTTTTTAAAAAAAAATTAACAATTTTGCTTATTGTCAGTGATATAAATGTATAAATTATAAAATACAAGATTATGCAAATATTGTCACAATTTGATACACAAATGGTGTAAATAAGATATGTTTAAGTAAACTTAGATGCATGTAATAATAATTGTTTACCTTTTCAAAGCCAAAAAAAGTGGCCGGGAATTAGTATGTCCGTGGAAAATCATTAAAAATCATTCATATTGCTATAATTACTTCATTGCTTTGTTAAAAGGAAAAACTATATATACATCAACTAGTAAGTTTTTGGAAAATTATAAAAAAAAAACCTATTGATTACATTTATTATATAGTTATACTAATTTCTAAGGTTATATCCACGATTGTAACCAACTAATCAAACAAGTTATCAATAACAAGTAGCTTTTATAAATAGACTACAGATTTTTTTTTTTCTCCCTGAAGATCACTATAACTTCTAACACGTGGATAATATAAATTTATACTTCAATTTTTTTTTTTGTCTTTAGTCAAATATCCCTTTCATTTTTACTTTTACTATTATTGTATTATCAGATATATTTCTAGTTATCGCCACCTTATAAATTCATAAATAAATATCATACTTCTAATAAATTTATTTCTCCTTATAAGTACCTTTTGGTATGGAAACAACTGCGTTAACGAAACCACGGAATGTTACTCACACTTTATACAAATTACACGACTGGCTAAGAAAAGGGTTGATTGATGTTAACCCTGAATTCCAGCGAGGTAAATAATATAATAAAATTTAAGCGATATGGGGAAAATTTTTTTTTGTATTAAACATTTTTTTTGCGTGCAATTTAATGACACTTCTCGTTTTATGAATGCAGGCGTAGTCTGGCGAGGTATCAATTATTCTATATATTTTATCTAAAAGATTAATAATTCTTATGTGAATTTTGATAGGTTTATCATTTATGAATGCATTTTAATGTCATTTGAATTTTAGATGTAAAACAATCCCACTTAATTGATTCGATCCTTAATAATTTTTACATTCCTCCCGTGATTTTCTCATGCAAGAAAGTGGATGGTACTAATAAATGGAAACGTGTTTGTATTGATGGAAAACAGAGATTGACATCGATTTCGAGGTGGGTTATGCGAAAAAAGTTTCCCTTTTTTTATTTTATTTTTTAAAATGTTCGATATCACTAGAATCGTATACAGTTTCGTTTAGTGATTTTTAAGTTTTAGATCTTAAAGATCTTCGTATTAATTATATAGATTTATGAATAATGAAATTCCTCATCATTCGCCTGGAGGACATAGCGCAAAGCGATATTATGATAAGGTTGAAGGATCAAGTCACCCTGCGTTATCTGATGAGGAAAAGGAACTATTCGAATGTTTTGAGATCGTTTGTGGTAAGTTTACCACCTGATATTACCAAGATGGTGTGTTAAAAAATTCATTAATCATTTATTTTATGTATAGTTGAATATTATGATCTCTCGTTGTCTCAAGAACAAGAAATATTCAGTCGTGTTCAACTTGGTGTGCCACTAACTGCAGCAGGTAATAAAATCAAAATTACTTTTGCATAAATTTATGCCTTTAAAATTCATATAATATAATTATGATACATATTTATATATATTTTTTTTATTATAGAAAAATTGGCAGTTATAAATACGCCTATCGTCGATTTTGCGCAAGACCTTTATAAAAATTACCCATCAATATCAAAAGTTATTGATACTACCAGAGGCAAACCACTTCAATTGATTTCTCAAACACTACACATGATCGAACAAGAATCTGAGAAATTTAAAGCATCAATTGTATCTATTCAAAAATATTTACAAAACGGTCGAGAGGTGCCATTTGGACTTGCACAATCAGTTAAAAAAGTTTTTGAAACTTTAGTAACCTTGATCGAGATTGATGTACAAATGTTTCATCAAAATAACAAATTTTCTCCTATTGAATTCGTATTCTTTTGTTGGATCATAGCAAAATTCCCAGATGTTGGGGTGATTGTATATAAAGATTATTTAAAACGGATGAAAGAATATGTTAGGAGATATCATGTAGACATTAGATTTAATCAAAATGTTTATGCGACTTTAAGAAGATTTGTTTCAGAGTTAGAGCAGGAACAGTTTATGTCAGAAATGAATTTTTATGGTAGTTACGATGCTAATTATGATTCTAATGAACCATCAAGAAAGAGAATTAAAGCCGAAGTGGATTGATTGAGATCAAATTTTGTTTTTTGAGAATATCTTGGGTGGATCATTTTTGTATGCGTGTTATGCATAGTTTTTCTTTAATAGAAAGCGATCTATAATGCTGTATAAATTGTATAGCTAAGTAGCATACATAATATGTTCTGTTATAGTTCTGCTTTCTCTAAAATTTAGTATTTTTCTCTTAGCAATGATCATTCTTCGTATCCATATATAAAAAACATATTAAAAAAAAGTTTGTATTATAATTATCTTATTAGACTAATTCTGCCGAATGAGCTAAACCGGAATTATATAATGTAAACTAATATTTGTATAGTAATTTATCTACGCAAAACCGAACGATGTCATGCAATGTGTCAAAATTCCGAAAGTTTTTTCCTTATTTGGTTTAAAAAAAAAATAGATAGGTAATAAGATTAACCTCTTTTTTTTTGATTTACATTGTAATATGAACCTTTATAGGTAAAAGAAAAAAAAGCATTTACTTTTTAACCTTCATTGTATTTCATATATTTTGATTAAAAAATTTCATTTACTGTTGATACTTAATATCGAGTTTTGTTTAATCTAGATTTAATAAGTAAATTCCTAAATTTAAGGAAAATATATATAAATACAAATATTTCTTTATCAACTAGAAAGGATTAAATTCGGCCAATGGCGATTTTTATTCCGATTTTTTTTTTTTAAAAAAATGAGCTTTTTTCTATATATCGTCTTTGTATTAATTTGTTGTTTCACCTTTGTTGAGCCGGTGGCGCAGGAGCAAAAGTATAGTATCAATATAAATCCCTATGAGGGACCCAATGTAAACCCCTATAAGGGACCCCAAAGAAAGTATAATATCGTTCTTAAACTAAATAAATCGGCCCAAAAGGAACATTTTGAATGGTTAAAAAATCGATGTAATAAATGTATTAATAAAGTTACTAGAAGTATTCATAATATTGTTAATAAAAATGATCTAAATGACTTTTCAGAGCAAGATTATTTTAATGTATATAGTGGATGACTTAATCCTGAATTTGTTAATCATGAATTAATCACAAGAAATGAAGTTGATCTAGTTGAAGAAGATGGAGTTATGGAAATTGATTATATGATTCCGCGTGATATCCAAACTTCGGATCTACGTGAAAATTTAGATCGTATAGATCAAAAAACATTTCCTTTAGATCAAAGTTACTCTTCTCCTCATACGGCAGAGGTGTTAATGTTTATATAGTAGATACGTAAGTGAAAATCTTTTAAAAAACAATTTTTTTTTTTTTTTTTTTTTATTACAAGTAGCATTAATTACTTTTTCTTTTTCAAAATTTAGTGGCATTTATAAAAGGCACCGAGAATTTGAAGGACGCGCCAAATTTGGCGGTACGTGATAATGATGATGAAAATGGACATGGGACACATATTGCAGCGATAGTTGCTGGTAAAACTTTTGGTGTTGCAAAGAAAGCAACGGTTATTTCTATTAAAGCTTTCAACTCTTCTGGTAGGGGTAATTATTCTGATATTATTAGGGGATTATCATTTATTCTAAATGAGCATAAAAAATCGAAAAATAAAAAAACTGTAGTCAAGTATGTATTAATTATTGTAAAATTATAATTTCGTATAATTTCTTGAAGAATAAACTAGAATTGTTTTGTTTTTTGTTTTGTTTTTTTTAGCATATCTTTTGGAGGTAAATTTACAAAAGCGGTAAATTTAGCAGTGAAGCCTCACAGATCATGGAATCCATGTAGTTGTGTCAGCAGGAAACGGAGATGGTGGTGATGCGTGCGATAGATCACCAGCATCTGTGAAAACAGCAATCACGGTTGGTGCTACAGAAGATAAATCAGATTTGGTTGCAAGTTTCTCCAACCTTGGAAAATGCATTAATATTTTTGCACCAGGCAGAAACGTTAAGTCAGCAAGCATTTTCTCTAATAACGAAAGTATGATATTATCTGGAACATCCCAAGCAACACCACACGTTGCAGGGGTGGTTGCCCTTCTTATTGCCAAAGATGGTAACAAAAGTCCGGCAGATATGGTTAAATCATTGATTAAATTGTCAACCAAAAATATATTAAGATTCCCTAAAGAAATTACAGTTAAGGGTAGCCCCAATAATTTTCTGCGCGTACCGACACCATAAATAATTGTCACAGCTTGAAATTTTTAAAAATTTTTTTGAAGTGCATTTTTTTTCATATAAGCGAATCTTAATAAAATTTATCGTAATATTGTTAAATAATAATTACCTATAGAAATGTGAGTAATATTGTATTCACGAATACATATATCAATAATGAATATATCAAATTTATAATTTATAGGGACAATAAAAAATAGACATTATGTATGAAGGCAGCGAAACAAATATATTCACAACCAAAATGGATTTTAATATATTTGCATTATTGTATCTTCACAAAAAATTTTTCTAAGTCCGGGCCATTTGATCACTAGCTACCTGCATAATAACAGCTAACACTCGGCATATTTCGGACTATAGTTATATGTAAGTTGAGAAAAAATAAAAGTACTTGATTGGTGAGTTAAGTAAGTATGATCTGAATTGCCAATATTATTATGGGATTCTGATCAGGAGATAAGTAAAGATGAGATTGATAACAGAAAATGAGATTATAAATATTATCACGTGAAATTAATAAGGGTTAATTTCTTAAAACGTGACATACGCATTGACACGCATGTGCAGTGCATAGCGATAACGTTATTACATATTAATACTGGGTGATTCAAAAGTTCCCTTTTTTTTTAAGTGACCTTAAATAATGTTCCTAGTTTATCCATTTATCCATCGGACATCCAGATCAACATCCGGATAATTATCCGAATACCTATCAGGTTATTCAGATATAATGATTTTGAATTATCCGGATAATCAGATACGGATTAACGGATGACGGAATATCCGAATTGGAACTCTAACCTTATATATAGTTATTTATGCAAATATATATATATATGTATGTATATTTGCATAAATAATCATGACTCTATGTATAAGGTCACTTAAAAAAAAGGGAACTTTTAAAACACCAGGTATTATATATATAATGCAACTTTACAACTTTTATTGATCTTTAGTTTTTGCTTTCGTGCAACTCGTTTGATAATTGAATAGGTAATTGGCGTTTGTAATAATCAATCTCGAGTTATTTTGAATTGTTCATTTTTGTCTTTGGTTCATCATAAGATTATTTTCATTCATTCAAAAAGATTGTACGTTGTATTACTAAGTTTTTCTTATTGTTTTACCTTTTCTAGTGAATAAATCTTACAAAATACAAAGATCATTGTATTTTATGAAAATCTAATTCACATAATCAATATAAATTTTTCTATTTACGGGGATACACCGATAATTTTAGTTCCGACTGGTCCGATATTGCTTACAAATTATCATAGTTGTATGCATAAAGGGCGTTTTATACACAGACAAAAAAGTAAAAAATCAATAAAGTAGTTATTTAATTCACCTGTAAGGGGAAGCTGTTAAATGACTAAATATACTCAATAGCGAGCACTTGAATAAATTCATGAAATAGTTTGATCCCCAATCTAAAATTAGACTAAGTTAATAGTCAATAATGAGATATATACAATTCATTATGTATCAAGTGATTCTTGGTTGCCTACATTTGGAAAGTTCATGAACTTTTGTTGTTTGCACCAGAAATTTGTGCAAATTTAATTGTGCCCCTCTTAATGTAATGGATGTAGTGTCAGGAACCGGTAAAAATTTTGATACAATATTATTTATATATGATTTTCAATTTTCTATAAACTAGGTTAATGTATGTTCAGAGCACATGAAAGTTATCATTTACACAAACGCGTAAGTATACATGCGTTGTTACACTTAATACAAATTTAGACACGCGTGTGAACGGACAAATTACCGTTGATAATCTTAATAAAGTTTATGTAAATGCATCTAAAATGTAACTGTTTTTGATCGAAATGCATCAAAAACATAATTTTGTACCACCTTATGTATAAACTAAAATCCTCTGCTGTGTTCCAGCTCCAGATAATAGTGTACAAATGTTCATCGGTCCTACACATATTGCATAATTATAATTAAAAGCTTGTTAATGAATCCTTGGCAAAATCGACAAGGTTACAGTACCTCCTGAAGGACAAAAATGCCAATCTACAAAGCAGGACCAACAGATTGTAATAATTAGGGCGCTTTATCACTGTATTACCTAATTAAAATATATTGTTAGATATTGAACAAAAGTACTTATTTATTAGAACCTTGTGGGTTCCAAATTGATGTCTTTGCAGGGCAAATCCTAATTAAAGAATCTTGAAAAGTTAAATGAAAATTCTATCTTTTTATATTACATTATTGGTTATGCTGAACATTCTGCCCAGAATTATGAAAAATTTATGAGCCGGTTGGCCCAAATTATGGTTTAATGTTTTATTAATAAAATGTTCTTTTTTGATGTCAAAAAACTTCGCATCGATGTTGAAAGAACTAATATTAAGGTTCTCTTAATCTTAACTGTTTATATCATTATTGTCTGTCGTTCAACCGTAACTTTAACATTTAAATGAATTTAAAATTCCATGCATATTTAGAATCCCAATTTAACATGCTTTACACACACCGCTTACTTTTATTTATAGAGTTGCACGCTAAAGCCGTGCTGTCAGGGACCCGGAAAATTTTAGATTTTATTAATATGAATTTTAAATCCTATCTCTATAAATAAAATCCAAATTTTTACGGTCTTTACACACCGTATTTAACATTTGTCACGCGATTTAAGTAGACTATATCAATATTAGTAATGCTGCACATATGTACGTACATACCTAAGTTAAACTTTTCAAATGGGCTAATGTATGAAATTATTATTAAAAACGTATCCAACCTTTAACAATAAATCATTTTTAACTAACTAGCTAGTTTGAACGACTTTACTATCAAAATGATCACCTTGATATGACGATTATTACGAGCCCAAAATCACAAAAATTTAATCACAGGGTTCGAGATCCGTTCTGTTTCGGGTAAACCCGGGTGTGTCTCCAATTTTACCCGAAGTGACACTCCTGTGATTGGCTTCTACAAATAGTCCATATATAGTTAACTTGATCATCAAACAGTCAAAAAAAAAAAAGTTTGAGTCTAAAGTATTCTTCGAAACATAAGTAATCCCTTAAATTTTAATTCGTCGAAAACTAGTTCGAAATATAAGTAATCATTTAATAAAAATTCATCTAAATTATTTTTGAATTTCGGCTAGGAGGCATATTACGTTTGCATGCAAATTATTAGCCGTAAATAGCAAATATAAAGATATTCCAAATAAATATATTTAAAAGTCACATCCTTGCATCACATATCAAATCAAGTTAATCAGGCCAGTCTCTCCCAAGGTTCTGATCGCATGATGACCTCCACGGTCGCGGCGTATAAATTAACCTATCAATTCTGCAATAAAGTCAATATAATATAGAAATGTGATGATAAGTATTATTTAAGGACTCCATAAGGACTCCATAATGAATTGTAAATCTTGATTGCATATGCAACGGACAAGGTTGCGAAACATCGTTTTTTGACCCACCTGGCCATTTTCTTTACCTATTCTAAAAAAAAAAAAATTTAAAAAATTACAAATCGTTTTTGACTAGAATAAATTTAGAATAAATGTATCGTATGCTTTAGTAATCTCGAATTAAAAAATTATAAAACCAAATTTATATTTAAGTCAAAAATTTTTTTACTGGTTTATTTAGAAATTTGCGTATATAACGCGGTCGATGCTGAAATTTTAAAATTTTTGAGGGGTCTTTTTTAGGGATGGGATGGGTTGGGTTAGGTTAGGTTAGGAATCGATATATTCATCATTTAATCTGATTGGTCAAAGAATTGCTGAAAAAAGTATTGTATAAATATAATATGGGGTTTGCCTTGAAAATCACCTTTCATTTCCGATCGGATAAAAGCATACCCGATGTAGGTCATGCTATGTGTAAATCATCTTTTGCCTTGTTTATTCAATAATTTATTTCAATGAAAAGATGATTTACATATCAACATGATCGACACTGGATTTGTTTTTGTCCGAACTATCACGTGGAAAATTGTGCTAGCGGTTAATCGCGTCGCTTAACTAATTTAATTGCCTGACCATCTATTAATGGTTTAACCGCTGATTGATCGTTTAACTGTTTATAGTCGTGAATTAAAATGAAATCAGATTAAAATGAAATGAGAGGTTTCTATTTAACCCACCTATACTTGTTTATTATAAAGTATACCTCCAAACCCTAAAAAAATGCACACCCAAAATTTGTATCGCCTATCTCTTATTTCACTTTAATCTGATTTCATTTTAATTTGTCACATTTATTAGTCGTTTAACCGTTTAACCGTTTATTAATCGTTTAACCATTAATCATTTAATCGTCTGACCATCTATTAATCGTTTAACCGCTGATTAATCGTTTAACCGTTTATAGTCGTGAATTAAAATGAAATAAGATTAGAGGTTTCTATTTAACCCACTTATACTTGTTTATTATAAAGTATACCACCAAACCTTACCCTAACCCTAAAAAAAATGCACACCCAAAATTTGTATTGCCTATTTTATACTATCTCTTATTTCACTTAATCTGATTTCATTTAATCTGTCACATTTATTAACCGTTTAACTGTTTAACCGTTTATTAATCATTTATCCGTTGGATCTTTCTTAATTGTTTAATCATTTATCCGTTTATTGTATACGACATAGTTGAATCATTGAGTTCTTGCGAATTAGTGACAATTTCATTTCTAATTTCATTCTAAGCTTCTTTTTTGTATTGATATATCGTCATATTAGTGACAATTTCATTTCTAATTTCATTCTAATCTTCTTTTTTGTATTGATATATCGTCATATTAGTACCACCTAAATGCTAATCAGCAAGATATTGTATAATGATCATATATACTCGACCCCAATAAGTAATAATGAAATTTATTTTATCAGTTCTCATATGTAACTTGAACTAGACTACATATGATTTTACTTCAAAAAAGAAATCCATTTATATATAATAGTAACATTTAATCTTCCTAGCATAACCGCTAAAATAATCAATGAAACACTAATT